CCTCCGAACTATTCAACGATGACGAATATTACATCTTTATTTTGATTACTTTACCCATATGGATACTGTTTGTTTGGTATTTATAAAGGCAGCATTAAACCTAATGGGTGACTTTAAAAATAGATGAATTGAAATCAGAAGGTTAAAAAGCTAATGCGTATCTGTAGATTATAATATTTTACCTGAGTGAAAAACCGTAAGAAAATATTTCACTAGCATAAGCTAGATATCATCATATACTAAAATGTAAATCCTACCATTAGAGGGCTGATAAAAAGATGTAGGCAAAATATTAGAAAATAATCGATGAAGATTTAGAGTCTTATACTCATGAATCTGGCACAAATCTTAAGTATAACTAAGAATAAACGGATAATGTGGATAAAAGTAAAATAACTAATCTTGATAGTAGTACAATTAATTTTTATCAAATAGAAGAGGCAAAGTTTAATCATACATATGCGGCAAATTCTGAATTCACTAATCAAGCTAGCTCCTATGTTGAACCAGGACAATCTACTGATTATAATATCAAAGAAGCATATCAGCTCTCTGATCATAGTAAAAAATCTAAGAACTAAAGTTTCAAAGAATTCAAATTAAGGAAGAATAGGAAAAATTAAAAAGTTCAAGGAAGTGATATTCTGTAAATTAAGCCAAGAACCTTAAAGGCATTAAGTCAATACATGAATGACTTTAGTAATTTAAATACGAAAAGTATTAGCTATCATGAAAATACTCGACATTAGCAAAACTTTGAGGGCTAAAAGTATAAAATTAGTGATAAAAAGCGAAAGTAGCTAAAGAAACTAATCGTGCATCTGTTTAAGTATCACTTTATTGGCGATAAAATTGATGATTATAGAACACATGTCATAAGGATATTCTTTACAATAAAAGTTCTTTAGAATAACATTCTTGCACATTTCTTGATGAACAACTTCCTATATCACACAAACTTTGATTCTGTCATTAGTAGGAACAAGATTATTCTTCACTAGCAATACTTTGACAGTAAAATCAACGAAAAATATCAAAAAAACTCTCAAGTATTCAACTAAAACAACTTGCAAAAAATGTTAGATTTGAATTAACTAATCTCTAAATTTGAAAAAAGACTCGATATTATATCAACAAATATTGCTAAATTCTGGAAAACATTAATTCAGGAAAAAGAATCGTTCTCTGTATATGATAAAGGACTGAAAATTTCGACTAAGCTTAACAAACTCAATGAGCTCTATGAGTAGATACAGGTGAAGCAAGGAGAATAAAAAGAGATCAAAGTCTATGTTCTAATGTCTGGCTTCTTCAGATATGTAATCTTTAAGTAGTAAGAATCCCAAATTGAAATTCAGAAATCAAGACAGGTTTATCAAACTAAGAAAATTGCAACATTCAATAGAGAATAAGATTTTACTAATGAAAAGGGTCTTCTTATTGCCACACTTGATATGAAAAAACCAATGGAGGTAGAATTTATTAATAAGAATTGTATGAAGCTAATTCAATATAAATAATAAGAAGCAATAGGCATGAAAGTTAATAGTCTGATGCCTCAACAGATTGCTGAAAATCATCATAAGTTTATCCAAAGGTTCATGTCCACTGGAAGATATGGAGTTATAAATCAAAAGAGAGAATTATTTGTCAAAATAAAAAGTGGATATCTAGTTCCAATCATTACTTACCTCTGCATCAATCATCACAATATCAGAAATCTTATACTTATTGTAGAAAAAAATGAAAACTATAGCATATTTTAAGATGAGGAAGATGATGTTGTTTCAGATTAGGCCCCTAATCACAAACTTACTGGAAAACAACGATCGCATTTTTTATTAGCTGATAAAGATCTCAGAATCTATGAGATGAGCGAAAATGTGTAGAATATAAGCGTACTATCAAATTCTTTGATTAATTAGATTAAATAATCATATGGATATTAACCGAGCCTAGATGATTTGTTTTACAATCTAAACTTAAATAGTGACCTCAAGGATTAGCATGATAATGGAATCAATGAATTCGAAGTTCATATCAAAAGTAATGCAACCTAAATTTATGATGAAATGATCTAACACGGCAATGATTCCCTAGATAAAGAAGAGTAAAAATTGGATAACAAAGCTAGATAAACATAATTTGCTAGCAGATTTTTAAGAGAGTAAGGTGATACGACCTACCTTTTAAAAATATCTAATCTTTCACTAATGGGAGGCTAATTTATCTTAAAAGTAATAGGTCTTAAACCATTATGGTCTGGTGCATAAAGTACAACTGCTTTTCCAATATTGCATATGGAATCTTTTAAGCAAACAAATGGAACAATAAAAAATATTTAGAATGCTGGTAATCAGCCTTTAAATCAATAGATTAAAATTTCAATGAGCTAGCAGAGGTCAAATGACCAATATGAAGAGGAATCTGAAAATAATTTTGACATGAGTAGTCAGACATCAACGACTTCTAGCTCTTCGACTATAATGTAGAAATTTAATCAATATAATAATTCTGTTAAGAGCTAAAGAATACCAATCACATTAAAGGTCATTCTATAGATCGTTATAGTTGTGTTCTTGATTATTATTGTCACTAGTACAATCACTCTTTCCCTCACTTTGAGTAATTCTAATGATGCAAGAACTGGAATAAAAGTTAGCAATCTTTCGATATCAAGATTAAATAGTATAACACAACTTAGAGTTATATTTAGGCAGCTCTATAATATGGCTTAGAATTATGTACCCATAAAAACAGAATTATTAGACAATAGATTTGAATTTTATACTGAATATTGCTAATAAGTCATTGAAAGTCTCAGAAAAGATCAAGTATAACTATAAGTTTATGATTCTGAAATGTAAGGAGAAATACCTGATATCAAACTCACTTATCTTTAGATTGATAACACCTTAGTTTATGAATATAGAGTATTAGGGCAGGCTATAAATCTTTACGTAGCTAAATGTGATGATCTAGTATAAAGAGCTAAATTGTATGGGGTAAAGTATCTTGTTAGTGAATTGACATATTTTGTCTTTGCAAACTAAGTAGCAGAAAGTGCTACACTAACTGAGAGAGATGGATTTTTCATTATTGAAAATGGTAATTAAGACTTGTTTTATAGATTAAGCTAGTATGCCAAGCTATTCAGTTAGAAAAAGCAAGATAGTATCGAGGTTAAGGTATAATTTTCAAGTATAATGTCTTGGGTTTGTATTGGAATTTTAGTAGCCTGCGGACTCTCAAATATACCCTTATTCAACAGAATTTAGGACAGGATTTTTGTTCTAATGAGAATATTTTTCACAATAGATAAGCAGATTAAAAACTAGATGGTATTAAGGATAAATAAATTTCAAATGGTTCTCAAACCTCCTGAATAAGAAGATGATAATCATCAACCTGAAGAAAATGTACCTGCAACTGTTGATCATGCTAATTAGCAAGAAAATACAGCAGATTTAAATCCTAAATAAAATTAAAAGATGCTTTTCTCAAATTTATTTAAAAAGAGGTCTCAATAGAAAAGAGATAATACCCTACCATCAAGTACCAAATACAACACTTCAAAATTCAAACCAAAAAAGAATAATAGAAAGTATGCAGATAAAGAGGTAGAGATGAACATTGAAGAAATCGAGGAGGAAAGTAAAGAAGAAATATAAGATTAACAAATGGAAGTTGAGGAAGATGCTTCTCCGTCAACTTCTCAAAATCAAAGATAAAAGAAAAAGAACAAAAGAAAAGGTCGTAAAAATTCAGGCTATTAGGAAAGTGAAGAAGTTGATAAAACTTCAAAAAGACAATAGTAGAAATAGCAACAGTAAACTAATGCACTTTTGAAGTTCTTTGCAAATTAAATATAGAAAAGGAAAATTACTCAGTCGCTTATAGTGATTCTAATGACTGTCATTTTCAATTCATACTTTTTGGGAACATACTTTTTGAGTACTTCAACATTCAATTAAATGTCTGAAAGCATTGAGATTATCTTTAGTCTCTTTAATAGGAAATCATGTGCAGAAAATACAATTCATGCAATCACAGAGGCTATAATTGCTAATGAAACTTATTTGATTAACAATGAACAAGATGAAATAGTTGAATACTTTAGTAAAACTTGTGAGGATGTTGAGAGTAATTACCAAAAGAGGGTCAGGAGAAATAAGCCTCAATACTTGGAAGGGATATATAGCTACTTGGATAAATTAGAAGATGGAACATTTTGTTAAGATACTTTCAATGATGGATAAGATGGCTTTGACTAGGTAATCAGTGTTGTAAATGTAGATACTTGCTAAACCTTTGGAAACTCTATCTCCAAATAAGGCATAACTTAAATATATCAGCAGATATATTAGATATGCAAACAAATGCTACTTGAATATTAAGGAGCTGAGAGAACGGGGTAAACTGGTAACATTTAGTTATTGCTGAAAATAATAGCAAAGCCAATGACAACATTTGATGTGCTTGAGATTGTACTTCAGAAGCCAAACATTCTTTTAAACGAGATTATTTTGGACAGTCTGGATTAATTCTTCAGTGAATCAGCAATGATTTTCATTGTCATCTTTGTTATATTCATTCTGTTCACAGTGATAATCATGACCGTGTTTTTATTCAGTAATTAAATCCTTTTTGGAATAACTCTTTTATAGATATTTTTAAGAAGTTAAGAAGGGAGATGATGCTATCAAACAGACTACTTTACATCATCGACTTTGATGCGCTCTCAGAATAAGAGAGAACCTCTATTACTTAATTCCTTACAAAATATTGATTATTCAAGAAAATAAAGATATTCTGATAACTAAAGCATAAAAATAATGCTTTAAGATTATTTATATTTAAATTTTGGTTATCTAGAATATTCAAAATACAGATAGAAGGGGTTTTGGGGTTTTGGGG